GTTCAGGCCTTGCAGCAATCTCACAATTGGATGGTAAAATGATGGTTAAAATCTTTTTTCTTTCCAAATTCTATTTATGTATCAACACAAAACTTGCGGAGCCGGGGGCGGGAAGGAGCAGAGACTTCGGCAGTCGGGCACTGGAGATGGGGGCGCCGAACGCGTGGTGGGCGTGAGAAGGAGTCCGAATTCTAGGAGGAATTATAGGGAATGAGGGCGCTGAAGCAAGAAACCAGGTGTGAGAGGGAACACAAGCACGAAAGAGCGTTGAGGGTGCAAGAGCGTGGCTGACCAAAAGACAGGGCGCTTGGAGATAGGGGCAAAGGGTGGAACATACCCAGCCCCATAAGCATGGAGGCAAGGGGACATTTTCTTCCCCTCAGCGCATTTTCCATAGGTGGCCCCCTTTCAGCCATTTTTAAGGTAAAATGTTGACCCAAGTGTTTTTTTAGGATATAAGGAAAGAACGTCAGAGGAAGCTAGCTGTAGTAAAGCGAGGCTTCGCAAGGCGCAGGAAAGTCAGAGGGTGGCGCCTTTTTTAAAGAAGATTCCATCTCTTTCCACCCTAAAGCTCAGAGCGTACCCTGTCCACAACTTTTCCTTCCTCCGTCCGTCTAGCCGCTCCCCCCCGTCACCATCCGATTGTCTTTAAAACAGGTAAGGCCTCTATCTCCACACCAGCTCCGGGAGCCTCTGAGTAGAGGGGGTGGAGCCCACAGAGGCCGCTGGCTGAGCTCAAGGGCTGGTGGGAGGGGTCTCGGGGTCGCTAATGGCGCAAAGGGGCTGTGACGCTGGCCTGATCTTTAACAGAAATCTTTGTCTTATTCCATCTACAGTCGCAGCTCAATTCCAGACGCCTTTCTCCTTAGGCCAGGCGGTGAGCTGATGGCCCAAGTTCAAGAAGCTTCCTTGCTCTCCAGCTCTTGGGTCTGCTGGAGCTCCGGAGGTGGGGGAGGAGCCTCGCCCGAGGAGGCGGTGGAGAAGGCTGGGGACACGGAGGAGGAGGCAGTGGGGGCGGCGAAGGTGTGTTCAGGCTAGGGAGCTGAGGAGATGAAGCTGGAGCTACTACAAGAGCGTAAGCCCGCGCCTGAGGAGAACTTGACATGGAGTGGCAGCGGCGGCGACGAGAAGGTGCTCCCTTCTACTCCCCCTCGCTGTCAGAGCAGCTGCTCGTCCCTTTGCCCGCGCCGCAAGCCTCGCCCTCGGCCCCAGCCCCCTGCCCGCTCCCGAGGCCCCCCCGGGCCTTCGGCCCTACCCCTGCCTCCAGCCGGTCCTTTCCCTCTATCTCTGCCCCTGCCCCGTCCCTGGCGCAGATCTTGGCGTAGATCTCGGCCAGGGTCCAGGCCCCAGACATGGCGAAGCTGTTCTGGTGACCTGGGCGGCTCTGGGGATCGAGGTGGCTTAGGGGACTGGTTGCTGGAGTTGGAGTTTGATCAGGGTCCCACAGGCTGCTCTCATGTGGAGAGCTTTAAAGTAGTTAAGAACTGGAAGAAGAACCTGCAGTTGATCTACCAGCGTTTTGTTTGGAGTGGGACCCCAGAGACTAGGAAACATAAGGCAAAGTCGTGCATCTGTCATGTGTGTAGTACCCATATGAACAGACTCCACTCTTGTCTCACCTGTGTCTTTTTTGGCTGCTTTACCGAGAAACATATTCAGAAACATGCGGAAACAAAACAGCACAATTTAGCTGTAGACCTCTATCATGGAGTTGTATATTGCTTCATGTGTAAGGATTACATATATGACAAAGACATAGAACAGATTGCCAAAGAAACGAAAGAGAAAATTTTGAAATTATTAATTTCCACCTCAACAGATTTTTCTCAACAACAGTGTATGACATCAGGTGTTGAAGAGAAGCAATCAACCTGTGAGTCAAAGGAACAGGAGCCAAAACTGGTGAAACCCAAGAAAAAGAGGAGAAAAATGTCAGTCTATACTGTAGGCCTGAGAGGGCTGATCAATCTTGGGAACACTTGCTTCCTGAATTGTATTGTCCAGGCACTTACCCATATTCCTCTACTGAAAGATTTCTTCCTCTCTGACAAGCACAAATGTATAATGACAAGCCCCAGCTTGTGTCTTGTCTGTGAAATGTCTTTGCTTTTTCATGCTATGTACTCTGGGAGCCGAACTCCTCACATTCCCTATAAATTGCTGCACCTGATATGGATTCATGCAGAACACTTAGCAGGGTACAAGCAGCAGGATGCCCACGAGTTCCTTATTGCAATATTAGATGTGCTGCATAGACACAGCAAAGATGATAGTGTTGGGCAGGAGGCCAATAACCCCGACTGCTGTAACTGCATCATAGACCAAATCTTTACAGGTGGCTTGCAGTCAGATGTCACATGTCAAGCTTGCCATAGTGTCTCCACCACAATAGACCCATGCTGGGACATCAGTTTGGATTTGCCTGGCTCTTGTGCCACGTTCCGTTCCCAGAGTCCAGAAAGGAATGACAGCACAGTGAGTAGGGATGACCACATACCAGGAATCCCCTCACTAACAGACTGCCTACAGTGGTTTACAAGGCCAGAACACCTCGGAAGCAGTGCCAAAATCAAATGCAGTAGTTGCCAAAGCTACCAGGAATCTACCAAACAACTCACAATGAAGAAATTACCCATTGTGGCCTGTTTTCATCTCAAGCAGTTTGAACATGTTGGCAAACAGAGGCGAAAGATTAATACTTTTATCTCCTTTCCCTTGGACCTGGACATGACTCCATTTTTGGCCTCCACTAAAGAGAACAGAATGGAAGAAGGCCAGCCACCAACAGATTGTGCACCCAAGAAGAATAAGTATTCTTTGTTTGCAGTGATTAATCACCATGGAACTTTGGAAAGTGGACACTACACCAGCTTTATCCGGCAACAAAAGGACCAGTGGTTCAGCTGTGATGATGCTGTCATCACCAAGGCTACCATTGAGGACTTACTCTACAGTGAAGGATATTTACTATTCTATCACAAACAGGGTCTAGAGAAAGACTAGTCTTATCAGACCACTTACCAAAAAAAGTAAAAGAAATGAATAGGCAAGGATCCTGAAGTGACACACACACCTACCTGGAATGAACAATGACAGTACCCATACAACAACCAGCACCTCTTGAAAAACACAAAAACCTGTCTGAAATGGACAACGATAACAGCATCTATATGACAATTAGCACCTTGTTATAAAGAACCTATTTTACCATGGCTTATGGGTCTGTAAGAGGGAAAAGAATACTGACTAGTGACCATTCAGCCTTAAGAAATGGGAGGAGGTAAAAGAGGTTGAAAATGGTCACATAAAGCATAATTAAGTGAAAAGAATGCTTTAGGTGGGGAGAGTGGGACTAGAGATGTTCTGGCACTACTATATGTCATTTGTTTCTACACAAATACTGTGGGAGGTCGGGGAGTATTCCTTCATCAGCAAAAAGCTTCACAGTTGGTGTTCTAGCTGTGGCTGACCAGTCAAATAGTTTGAAAAAAAAAAAGAGGATATTTTAAAAAGCTTTAAAAGAAAAACATTTATAAAGCAAAAAACATTTTTTAAAAATTTTCAAAGAAAAATTTTTTAAATGTTTAAAAAATTTTAAGTTAAATATTTTTAAAACAAATGTTTCAAAAATTACAAGGAGTTTTTTAAAACTTCAAAATTATTAAAATAAGGCTTAAAAACGAATTTTTGAAAGTCTTAGTTTAAAAAAGGTGAATAAAACAAGAAAAAAATTATAAATGAAAGTTAAAAAAGTGAAACAGTTTTAAAATTAAGAAGTTAAAAGAAAAAAGGAAACTCTTAAAATTAAAAGTTTAAATGAAATAAAATGTTAATATAAATAAATCTTGCCTAAAATATGTGTTGAAAAATCAAAGGTTAACAAAATTCATGAATAGTTTAATGATTAAGAAATAAATTTTCAAAAAATACAGAATGTAATGAAAATTCAAATTTAAGTTTAGAGAAAAATTTAGAACAATTCAAGACAAAAAGACAAAATTTGTTTAAAAATTTTAAATTTAAAAAGGAAAAATTAGAGAAAATAGAGAATCTTAAAATATATAAAGAACCTTAGACAAGTTCAATTTGAGAAATTTAAATAAAAACTATTTAAACAAAAAGGATAAAAAAATTTAAACCTTTACAAAAACATTTAAATAAAAATCAAAAAATTAAAAAAA